AGGTCACTGGTTTTAATCTTTCTGCATGGAGTTTGCATGTTTTTCATTTGGTTGCATAGATTTTCTCTCATGGTATTGCTTTCTTTAACTCAGTTGTGCCAAACTACTGGCCCGGGGGTTCACTTTTGGCCCGTAAACCCCTCACATTTAACCTGACCCTGAAAAGATGTGAAAGTGACACATCCTCTTGCTTTAATCAGTGTCAATACTTTATGACAGTAACTGTGTTTTTAATTCCACTGTAAAGAAACTCCAAACCAAAATGACACTCAAGTACAGTAATGAGAGCCACATTACTGACAGCTCTGAACTGCTGTTAGCTAATGGCATGTGTGTGTAAGTGTGTGTGTGTTTTTTTTTTTTTACCTACCTCTGCCTTTTTCTGTCCTTTTCGACCTAAATCCCACTGCTGACGGCTGGAACAGCGGGGTCTCTGGCCCTGTATTTAGCCTCTCTGACCCAGACTCCATCCTCATCCTCCTGCAGTGGTTCTTCCCTCTGTTCCCTCTTCCACAGGGGGGGATATCAGCGCTGAGCTAATTTCCAGACTGCATCAGCGTTCTAAATCTCCTGCTGACTCTCCATCTTTCTCACTACTGTCCTGACTATTCCGACTCACTATCTATCAGGCCGTGTGTCTTGATTACGTGTAAATACCTGCTACCTGCAGACATAATAGACTCCAGTTTCCACACTGAATGAAATTGCTTTGTTGTACGTATTGATGGCAGTAATCCGGCACATGGATCTTCTTCTGTGCACAGATAAATCCTGGTGGGGATATTCAATAACCGAGTCCTTCAACAGTGGAGCACATCAACCATTTATTATACTACTGCTGCTGTCCTGCATATTTCTTCATTAAACAGTGCACACAACACCAATTTATCTCACAAACTCATTAATATGTTTTTCCCCCTAATCATTGGTTTGTGTTTTGTCTCCCAGTCTTAATCAAAGTCATCCCCATACTGCCATAAATATATATTTTTTTTTAAAAAATCACAACGTGCTTACCACCAAAATAATTACGTGCATATATTTGTTTTGCCACCCTGAGTTTCATATTGTTTTCCATCATTGCTGGCTGTGCCTTTCAAGTCGTTCACCCATTTGGAGACACGTGATTGGCTCCAGGGACAGGGCAGCGAAGGAACACGGACTGCAGCTACATGGACGAACTAATTAGGGCATTTGTTTTTTTCTAACCGCCCAACAATCAACAACAACAGGATCTAACTATTAACTCGCACTACTAACCCATCGGCCTCGTCCCCTGGCCACCGAGTGAACACGGGGAAATGTGCAACCGCTGCTTTTATGTGTAATTAAATCAAGAGCTTGCACCATCGTAACATGGTTGTTAATATTGTAACACATCTGAGGCCACAGAACTCACTGTAGAAAAACACGACCAAGGAGTTCCAGCCACATCTTACTGCATATTTATGTAGTACAAACGGTAAATGAGAGCACATTAGAATGTGTACAAGCCATCAGGCTGGGGCAGGGGCTCACAGTTGACAGAATGAAACATATTGTATTTCCATCTGTTAAGATTATTTATTTATTTATTTTAGATTATCTGATTTTTGAGCAAATGGCCGCTGAATACTGTTTTAATTCATAATGTAATTGACTTTTTGGTTTTCTATGTACCACAATGAAACCTTAATTCATTTTTAAATCAATTACTATACATTTTAGGTGACCTCATTTGAATTTTGGGCGACCCTACGTGGGGTCCCAACCCCTAGGCTGAAAAACACCGTTCTAGAAGAATTAGAATTATTTTGTACTACTGAAACTTAGAGAGGAGGAAATGTTGGAAAGCGTCTCGGAACTTTTTAACTCCCCTTCGTAGGCAGCACCTGTGGAGGGAACTTCTCTATTCACAGACCAGTGAGACACCCCTTGGACGTTCTGTGTTACTTTGACTGCTTCCCTTTGTGTTCTGATTTGTCCATTGCCCTACTTTACAAGTGACATCCCATTGTTTTAAACAATTTGCATTGGAGGCACAGCGTGCTTCAAGCCGTGTGTTGACCCCCCTGTGGTGACCGACTGGATTCATTTCTCTCCCTCACTCCCACCTCACATGGAGACAAACAGAAAGCAAATACTCTGGTTGGGGTTGGGACCTTTAAGATAAAACCACCACGGAGCGTCATATATAATGTCTTTGTGGGACAACAGCAGAAATGTAATAATGTAATTACTTTATGTGATTTCATAAAGATGAAAATACGTTTGAGTGGTAAAAGTTGCTTGTTTGAAGCTGATGTTGGTCCACAGTGTGTGTAACCAATTCAATGTGTAATTTGTTTTTTTACTATGTTTTCCCACAGAGATCCTAAACGGAGGTGTTTACGTTGACCAGAACAAATTCCTGTGTCACGCAGACACAATCCACTGGCAGGACATCGTCAAAAACCCACAGAACCATCGTCTGGTGGTGCCCACGAACAGCAGCGTTGCCTGTAAGTGGCTCATTGATATTGATCTCTGTTTCATAAACAAAGCCGGAAAGTGAACAGAGTTTTTACACTACACACTACCACTGTTTTATCCACTTTTGTACTTTTAGAACAGCACTGATGTGTGTCTACCACTGTTTTATCCACTTTTGTACTCTTACAGTACAACAGTGGAACAAATCTTACAGGAAGTCTTTCTCCTGTTTTTGTCCGGGATGTTCAAATACCCTCTGCTTCCATAAACTACCAATGAGAGCAAGAACTGAACTGCTATAGGAAAACACAAAATGTTAGCTGAATTGGCTGTTATATTTGAATGAAAACGGGCCAACACTAATACTGGGATTGGAGCATCTCAACTAAAAACCCCAAGGCCCTGAATAAAAAAAAAGTGATAAAAAAAATACATTCTCCTTCAATTAAAAAAAAAATTAATTGTTTGTGGCTGGAGTCCCTGTGCACCTAGTTGATTTATCTTGTGACCACCTCCTCTCCCCCCAAACCTCTCACCCACCCTGCTATGGTTTTGTTCTGCTAACCTTCAGGAGCTGTTTTGAAGAAAGCTGTAAAAGATTATGGTGCAGGAAGAAGGCTAGGACAGCTTTATTCTATGTCTCTGAGAATTTATAAGTCCAGATAGTGAAGACCTTGGACACTAAATGAGAACTCTTTAGGTTTGACTCCTCGGTGCACCGAGCTGAGAGAACGGAGGTGGAACTGTAAGTATGTCAGCAGTTCTCTGCACCCGGCACTGTCAGACTGCCTCTAATGGCTGGCTGACATTTCTATTACAATTCTGTTTGTGGCACTTTTCATACAGTCAGTGCTTTTCAACCTCCTTATAATAAGTACTGGCTTTCTATGGAAAGCGAAGAGACAAACTGTTGGATAAAAGGCACCGACTGGAGAGAGACGGCGAGAGACAAGGGCAAACGTTAAGTGAAGGAGAACGAGGGAACAGTGATGAATCAGCCGGTGGAGAATTGTAAAAGAAAGAGGTGAAATATGTGATGGAGAGGGGCACCAGCATGTCTCATCTGGAGAGGCGGATGGGCAGAGGACAACACTTGTCCTGCACTTACTCGTCTCCCCCGCAGTCAATTATGACACAGTCAATTAAGTCGCTCTCCTAAAAAAAAAAAAAAAAAAAAGACCTCTGATGCTGCTTTTTTGTTTGTTCAATGCTTTCATCTAAATGTTCTCTGCTGGTTTGATGCTAAAATGATTTTAGGCTATGTGCTGAGATAGTGAGTTTTACTTTACATTGTACAAGTTACAGAAATTCTAATAGTACAATACAGATTACTATGACAGGACATTATATATTTTTGCCAATTTAAACATTTATATACAAAACATTCTTACACGTTTCTATAATATGATATAATAAAAATAAAACTGCTAAAGCTTGTAATAAAGGAAAACGTTACCAAACAAAAATCAAGTCAAAATAATGACTCACAGGCTGCAGTAGGTCAGACTGGACCTTGTTTTTTTTTTGTCAGTCACATGACATGCCAGTCATCACTGTCCTTCAACTTCTGTGCAGGTCAAAGGTGCCACCGTTCCTGTAATGGCCGTTGCTGGGGCCCCAAGGCAGACCAGTGTCAAAGCTGTGAGTATCCTACTGTCATCGTAATAGTAGTTGTTGTAGTAGTAATAATAGTAGTGGTAAAAGTAGTAGTAATAATAGTAGTAGTAGTAGTATTAGAAGTAGTAGTAGTGATAATAGTAGTAGTGGTACTAGTAGTAATAGTACATGTGTTTGGCTGTCCTTGTGATAAAGTATATTAAATACAACACAGTACAGTACATGTACAAGTACACACGGCTCAGGTCATTTTAGCCTTCCTGTTGTTTTTGCCTCTTCACTGTCACTTTGACTCCACTCCACCCGTGGACCTCGTCATCCACAGCTGCCAACCGCGTCACGTCTCATCTCATTTGTTCTGTTGTTTTGGTCTCATTAAGATAACAGAGAATGAACTGTTTGACCAGGACCGGTTCACGTCCCGTCACAGTCCATCCCTTGTCAAGCCCCGGCTCTGTCTTACCCACTATCACGCTATCTCATCATCTTGATTCATACGTGGGTGTCAGGATTTATCCTTTCCTTTACACATTCCCACCTCGCAACCTTTAATTTTGTTGTGATGACATATATGTGATGAAAAAGAGCAGAAATGTCAAATGAAAAATGACTGCAAATATGCCCGGGTGACATTTCTATAAATCATTTCTCACCTGTCTCTGAAGCAACAGAAACAGCAGCTTGTGGTGTCAGCGACCTCTGAGAAGAGCCTCATAAATTCCAATAGTCAATATGAGGCTTATTTAGATTTTAAAAGTACAACATTTCAGCCGTGCAACGCTGTGATACAGACCAGAATAAGATATTTTTTTCCATGATATTTTTCAGATTTCACTTTAAATAATTTTCTCACTGATATACCAGAAACTTTTGCAGAGGTTTCCAGTCGTCCCGACGTCAGACTGGTTCACTATTTATCCCTTTAAGGGAAATACTTTGCATTTAAACCGATCCTTAATACAACCCAGTGATCAGTACCGAACACTTTCAGTGTGCCTGGAGAGGAGAAGGAAAAAATAATTTTTGACATTTGCTTAACGGGCCAGAACAGTTCTAGTTCTAGGCTGTTCCTTCAAATACAAGTCTGATGTTTTAACCACTAGACCACAGGCTACTGGGAAGATCCGTCGACAGCCAATGTTGATTTCAGTCTTTAGTATAAATGTAACCTAGTCTCAGTACCGATTTCACTCACTGGAACTGTTTTGCACTGAAACTGCAGTGTGTAAATACTTCGTATGTACGCAGATGTCATTTAATTGTTATTTTCAAATAGTGGTAATTTTCTTTTCTGCTTTCAGCTTAAGCTACAAGTAAAATGGATTCATGTGTCTGTTCAACTGGACAGATGGTGCAGTATGTTTTGGTTGCTTTGATTTAATCTCAGTTTAGAAGCCCCTCCTTCTAGCCAACAAACGTATGTAGCTGTGATAGGATCTCGCAATTTTTTTAAAGTCTCAAGAGTCTCAATTTTATTAAGTGACCAACTAAAAGTTTTTGAGTCTCAATTTTATTAAGTGACCAACTGTCAATTTATTTTGTTGTTGAAAGTAGTAACTTGCTACTTTCCTGTACTTTCGTCTTAGGAACGAAGGTCATTGAGTCTGATGAGGACAAAAATGAAAGAAAAGACAATACTACGTTCTTTTGAAGTATGTCTGGATATTTGAGGTCTCTTCATTCTTAAACCCTCTGTACAAAAGGAACAGCAAGGTGTTGACATTTAAAAAAAGCTAGCTGCTTGCTCAAAATGCGCATTCATATTTTTATTCTTCAGCAACAAAAATCAAATCATCTCAAATCTAAATCTGTTCTATATATATTATATATTTATGTTTAAAAAAGGCCACAGTCAGTGCACTGACTGCTGTGGATTGTGTGGAGAAGCGATAGAATACGACAATCTATAAAACATTAAAATGCAGAGAACGGTCTAAAATACTTGACGAAAACACTTGTGTTTTCCCTTTTGTTTGTTGTCAAGTATTGATAGTAACCCGCAGAAGATCCATAATGCATCTGTGTTCCGGTGTGTGCTCAGTAATATTAACAGGATCGCAGTCAAATTTTAAGCAAGCAGGAAAGTGTTTCTGCTTCAAACGTCGCAACATTATTTAAAAACTTTCTCGGCAGAAACATACGTGAAATAAATGACTCATCTAAATGGGAAATGAGAGGCAGTGCTTCCTGTGACTGATGCTGCTGTCCGGCGGTTCTTCAAATGGAGGCTTCCAGGCATATTTTTTGGAGATGGATTTCTTTTGTATTTGTCATCACAGGCCTGTTTCTCTCTCTCTTTTTTTTTTCTTTAAAGTGGAAGTTTTAAGCCGAATTGATCAACAGCGCTGCGACTCCGCGTTGGCAAGGTCATTTGTTTGACAAACTGTTGGAGTGGAGGAGGACATTTCATTTCAGACCAGGCAACATTAATGGAATGCTACTGATTGTGCGTTCGTCGTGGGGTGAAGTGAGCGCGTGCTCTTGCCCGTGTGTTTGACAGGTTTTCCCCCGAACTCATATCCATCTCTTTGATAGTGTCTCGTCACTGCGACGCCTCCATGGGAGCGAGTCAAAGTTTCATGTGTTACTTTACACTAACCTAAGAGGCACTGTCGTACGGAGAGAGCGGTGAGAGTGTAATTCCGTTATGTCATGATACTCCACCAGACTCTGTGACAATTTGCTCATCGCTCGCCGTACGTTCAGTCTCCAGTTTCTTAATTCATCAGATTTATCTTGATTGAACAAATCTTATAATAAAATGGAGCTGAGCATCTTCTCGCTCTCTGCATTTTTCATTGGCTGCTTCTCTGCAGCTCAGCTCTAATTGGATAAATGAGAATATTTAAGTTAGAAAAAAAAATAAACCTGAGTGCATGTTAGTTCTGAATAGTCATTCATTTAAAGGAAGAATGGCGTCTGTATATGAAACTACTGATGATAGTACAAAAAAATACAAAAGAAAAAGAAAAAAAATGATACAATAAAGATAGTATTCATTTTAGTTTTATATCGTCATTCTTCTAAAAAAAATGGTTTACTTCTCTCAATATTGTATTAATTTAGTATATATTATATTTGAGTGATTACTTTGTGGCAGTAATCATCAACTCGTGGGCTAAATCCGGCTTGCTGAACTCTCCAAAACAGCCTGCAACTGAGTTCCAAAATAAACATCAAAATAAAATATTGAAAAAAAATTAATTTTTATTTTACACTTTATTTTATTTATTTATATTCAATTAAATCACAATCACAAAAACAGTTGTGTATCCTCATTTTCATATCCTCATTTTTTCATTTTCCTGAAAGTATAAAAATATGTCTTGATATCATTTTGGTCCAATTAATGCATGAGTTTCTTTAATGTATCCATTTCTCCATCGATCAATAAAACTCACTCCAGCCTGAGCTGGAAACTTCTTCAGTCTTAGTGAAGCGGTGACGACCAGTCAGTGAGTGACACACATGTTAACGTGAACATCGACTTCAATCAAAAGGCTAAACATATGCTGTGCCTTTTTCCATGAAGCGACTGCTGAACGGCACGACAAGTGTTAGTCATCATCTCTGCCTCTTCCACGTAGCGACCCTCAAAGAAGCACAAAAACAAGACCGGAGCTGGTGGGCGGAAAAGATTCTTCGGCAGATGCTGATTTCTAATTTGCAAGAAAACTCAAGACTTTACCACGCAATTAGCAGGGCAGATGTTAAACAGCCAGGCTCCCAGGGTTTGGGAGATTATTATGTGTACATTATGTATACTTTTTATTTACTCGCACAAGTACTTATCAACAACTTTTCAGTTACCACCAGCCTCTTGTACTTTACGTAACAGCTCCGATGGTTAGACCGTACACGTGACTCACCGTGGGCTGTTTCCACACTTGTTTCCTCCACAGTGACGAAAACGGTGTGTGCAGAGCAGTGTGACGGCCGCTGCTACGGCCCCTTTGTGAGCGACTGCTGCCACCGCGAGTGTGCAGGTGGCTGCTTTGGACCAAAGGACACTGACTGCTTTGTGAGTAAATGATACACACACACACATTGACTGCTCCAGTCAAACTCAGAAACACTCTCATCTCTTCACCTAATTATCACCGATAACTGTTTTGTTCTTTTTATTCTGTAAATGCCTGTTTCAGTTTCATAGACTGTTTGTGTCTGCAGGCCTGCACCAACTTCAATGACAGCGGTGCATGTGTGACCCAGTGCCCTCAGCCCTTCGTCTACAACCCCACTACATTCCAGCTGGAGCACAACCCTCGAGCGAGGTACACGTACGGAGCCTTCTGTGTCAAGAAATGTCCACGTAAGTCCCAGTGAAATTCCAGCTATGGTTACAAATACACTGTTTATTTTAAAGATCTGTGAAATCTGTGGTGAAGACAAAAAAAAAACTTTTTTTTTTGCAGTATATACTAAAATTTTGTGTTATATGAAAATTTCTGGTACTATTATTATTAATCTAATCTAGTGATTATCATTGTTGTTGTATAATAAGTGAATTTTAAAGATTAATTTTAATTTTAGAGGTAAAACCCAATTTAAAACATTATAATTCTTATCAAATGTTACATTTAAATCCCTCTTAAAATGATTATTGTAACTGGTCATTGCATAAATAATTAATTTACTAATGAATAATTGAAGTACATATTTAATCAATATTGTGATTATCATTGTTGTTGTATAATAAGGCCTTTAACCTTGTTGTGTCACAGCTGTTTACAGTTAATTATAAAGCTTTAATATTTGTAATGACACATATGTGAGTTGTTCATTTTATTAAATTAAATTATTTTACAGATAACTTTGTGGTGGACCATAGTTCCTGTGTGAGAGCGTGTCCCACTAACAAGATGGAGGTGGAGGAGAACCGCATCAAGATGTGTATTCCTTGCACTGACATTTGTCCTAAAGGTAAGTGAAGTCAAACTTGATAATTTGGCTTTTTTTATATAATATTTTCACAATGTAGTATGTTGTATGGAGAAACCAACTGATATGTTTGTGTAAACATATGTGTGTGTTTGTGTTCCAGCGTGTGAGAAACCAACTGATGTGTTTGTGTAAAAATATGTGTGTGTTTGTGTTCCAGCGTGTGACGGCATCGGCACCGCCAGCCTCCAGTCTGCTCAAACTGTGGATTCAAACAACATCGACAAGTTTGTCAACTGCACCAAAATCAACGGGAACCTGGTTTTCCTCATCACTGGAATCAAAGGGTGAGCGTTGAACACTCAGGTACCTGCCAGCTACCAGTGACAATCACACACACACACGCCGTGTGTGAAGACAGAGATGATCTGGTATTCCACAGTGTCGTTGTTCGACGGCTAAATGCGGCTTAATTTGCATGAGAGTGATTAAAAAAACAAGCTTTGTGCTCAGCTTATCTCGACTGCAAACGCTGTAAAGCGAACTTCATTGTTCCTTCTTTTGTGTGTCGTTCTGCTCGTTCTGATCTCTCATTATCATTCACAGTGATGTCTATCACCACATCGAGGCTTTGGACCCAGAGAAGCTCAACGTGTTCCGCACAGTGCGGGAAATCACAGGTAAGCCGTAACATATTCAAGTCCTGTAAGCAGATGAATACTAATGAGTCCACACAACGCTGTTATTATTTGTTGATAGAAAATTAGCGGCATCTGCTCCGACCTTTGGTCCTTTTCTTCTCAGCCTCTGTTCCACACACCTCCAATGTGTGTGTGTGCGTGTATAGACTGTGGTCTAACTCACTCCTCTCTGCTGAGACTGAGTCTGTCCATGTCAAGGACAGATATTGCAGCACCAGATGAATATCCGATGAGTCTTTCACTCTCCTCTGTCTCTCGGGGTCCTCCTCCCTCTGGGAGTCTCTAGCCTTGAGTCCCACAGTCCCAGCTCTCTCTTCACGCACCATGAAGAAAAGAACCGGAACATGTGGTGCGCATCGTTAAACCTTCCAGCTCCCCGGTGCCACCTCCGCCCCCCTGAGCCATAGGAACACTGTCTCTTCCTCAGTTTAGACGAACGACTACGGCCTCAGAGGAAAAACAACAGTGTATCTGAACAGTGTCCTCTGGTAAAAATGAGAAGAAGTATTCATGACAAAAACCCACAACAGGGATGAGATGGTAGTATGAATGAATGGATGGATTAAATAATCAACCAATTAATGAATGGATGGATGATGTATGGCTGGTGGGATACAGGGTTTTGGCAGGTACTTGAATCTTATTTTTTATATAAATACAACAGTCTTTAAGACAGTTGGAAAAAATCTGATTGTTAGCAAATGTCACTTCTTCCTGTGGTCGCCAAACCTATTCTGCAGCGCCCCCTTTTTGTAGATACTACTTTTTTTGACCACTTTCCCAACATCAATAAATTCACAGCTTTTACTCTGAAACTGCACTGAACTCTTTTGGAATAGTGCAGTTCCTAAAAAACTGTTTGTTAATTCTTAGGACATAGTACAATATGAATGGATTCGCTTTTACCCGACAACGTTTTGCACCGTCTTCCAGTTTACGTTACCCTGACTTTTCTCATCTTTGAATGGAAAAACATTCGAATTGCTGCTGGAGACGTTACAAACAAGAAGATTCACTTATATCCCAGTGTAAACATGATGTGATTAAAATAGCAGGTCGGCCTCGTTTTCGAACGCTTTCACAATTATTACATTTTCTTGCGTTTGGTTCAGGTTCATTAGAGTTCATCAGACAAATTCTGCATTAAAGTTCACATTGCCAGAACAGAAAAGTGAAAAAGCATTGCAGGAGGAGGTTCTGTTCATATAGACTTTTTTTGTATTTTTTATTCATATTTTTTGTATTTTTTATTCATATTAGTGAAGGGACTGACAGAGATAAACCGCTGGCCAAACATGCAGTCAGAGATGTGTGTCAGTGCAGCTTGTCATCTCACCGAGCTGTCAGGAGGATGTGACCGCTGACTGAAGCATCCAACCTGCCTCTCTGACCCTGAGGTTACAGGAAGCATCTCTATTGCTTTTAAATGAGCTGCACAGCAGCCTTCACACCATCAGTCCCCAGTCCCTTCTCTTCACTGTTTCTACCCGTTCATCCTTCATTTTCTAATATGAATGACTCAGACAGGAAACGGAGAACGACGTCACATAAAATCCAAAAATCATTAATAATAATCTTAAACTTCTTAACCTCATCTTTTTGGCCTTTTTTTTCATGGATCAGTGTGACACTGTTTCATTCAGCAACACGTACCTGAACTTTACTTCTCCGTCATGTTTAACCTAAAATCACGGGGAAGCCAGGCATGGGCAAACTAAGGCTCAGGGGCCGGATGCAGCCCGTTCATCTTTTTAATATTTATATTATCATTGTACTTCTGCCTTTTCCCTGCAATATCCACGTTTCCCCAATAGATGGTGTAGAAAATGATAAAAGCATGTTAGCATTTGCCCCGCCCCCCCTGTTCATTTTTAGGATAATTGTGGCCCGCGAGTCAAAAGGTTTACCTACGGCTGCTTTAGCCTCTCCAGTTCGGCCATGTTCACTCAACCTCTCAATTGACATGCTTTTGTTATCAGTTTTGTTTCATTAGCCTGATTGGCTGAGAATCTTGATGACGCCGTGACACTTGTTATGCGTCTGTGACCTGATCTGTTAACGTTAAAGATGGCAAAAGTTTAATTCCACAAATTCGATGATGGAATTTTCTGAACTGCTTTATAATCCACAGCGAGGTAACCGCGATGCATCGAGAAAACCGTACTGCCCTGGTGCAGTATTACAGCAGCAGAGACAGTAGCAGAATGTTCCGGAGACATCAGCTTGTTACCTTGATTAGGAACCACCCGTAGCTCTCCATGGTGAAGTGGCAACAGTCTCAGCACTGAAGGTTTTGTCATTACCACAATTAGTGACGACAAGTGCAACACTAATGACTGTGGAACAGTGCTGCCTCCGGGCTGAGCCGTTCTTCCCGTTTCAAAACCCTCACCATGAAGTCTGGGGCCGCAGACACACAGCAGCAGCTCACGCTAACATCTGCAGCCAAAATATTATTGTAGTGAATGTCAGAATTTGGTTTAAATGTCAGGTTGTTCTTTGTTGGGGAGAAAATACTTATTACTGTCCATCACGGTGGTTTCCAGTGTCTGGGAGAGACAGTGAAACCGAACCGTCCCCCGTGGGAAAATATGATGGTGTTTAAACGATCGTTATTTCCTCCTGTCTTAGAAATGTTACATTAAATATTAAAATTTTATAAAAATAAAATCATAGTATCTCTGTCTTTGAATAATAGCACAGAATAGTAATAGTGAAGTGAGGCTGTGCATCAGGTTAAAATCAGGTCCATTTTCATTCAGTCCTCGCTGTGTTGCTCAGCTACCTGGCTGTTTTTCTTCTTCTTCTTCTTTTGTTCTCCTATCAAACAGTTTCGTCGACCAATGGCTGAAGTTAACAAACAAAACCAAAGAAGTTCAAACAGATCGGTCGACTATTATCGTCATGCCGTTAAGGTTATACCCACACAGTCGTCACCTCTGTTATTAAAATGATGACATAACAGCAGATTGTGTCTCTCCGTTTTCTACGGACGCTAAATTCATATTTATTTTTGACCTTTGTTTTGTGCTCACCTTTCTTCCCAGCTGCTTATTTATTTATTTATTTACTTATTTATTTATTCCGTCTTCTTGGTGCTGTGGCCTCACCTGCCGTTCCTCGGCTGAATATTTCACAATCTGAATGCATTATTGAAAAATGTGAAATAAACCACGGCGGCCATTTTTTTTTTGCTATCCATTTAATCCTTTTAATAATTCAACGTCGTTGCGGCAGATAAATCAAATGCCAAAAAATACTGATGTATTGAAGGCCACGGAGCTCCGCTCGCTTGATCTCACACAGTTTGTGTGTTGTGATCCCGCGGATGTCACTTGTCGGCTGTCCCCACTTATTTTATTGGTGTCACAGTGTGAAATAGAGGCCGTGATGGACAGATGATTGTGGTCTCTCAGTTCAACAGTGAGTCGTGTTAACACTTCTCTGTCTCTTCCTGTTTGTTTACGCGTGTGTGTTTTTTCTATTTCAGGCTATTTGAACATCCAGTCTTGGCCTGATAACGTCACAGACCTCAGTGTTTTCTCCAACCTGGCAACCATTGGAGGAAGAGCTTTGTACAGGTACACAATAATAATAATAATAATAATAGTATTAAAAAAGCCATCATCGATTCTTTAGGTCGTTTCATTAATAAATAGCCAATTAGGACACTATGTCAGAAAATGAATAAATATATAAAAATATTTATATATTTAAATAAAATGAATATTCTTCAAACTGACACTGTAGTCACCTTAGATAAAAAGCTATAAAAATATATAAAAAGAAAAAAAATAGATTAAGGTAACTTCCTGCAGGGTCAACAGAAAGTGAGCAGAGCTTTTACACCAAAAGGCATTTTGTGAAAAGCATATTGGGTCACTGGATTGGCACATTTTTGAGGTGCAAGTATTTGAATGAAGTATCATTCCTTGTACCAATATTACCAATATATACTGTATATATATATAAAATTGCGTTTTGAACCTGCAAAACACGACAAACAAATAAAAAAAAAAAAAATCATAGGGATCCCCATGATCAGAGTTCTCTATTTTCTCTATTCTCAATTTGAATCAGTCATTTTTTTTCTCTAAATTCTTTCTTTGGAGAGTTCTAGGAACTAGCCTTTTGTTCCTGATTAGAACCAGACTGTTTCCCCCTGATCTGAGGACACGAGGAGAGTTTCAGTTTCTCAATGTTCTTTAAGTTCTGAGAACAGTAAAAGATCAGAAGGAGTGAGATCAAAAAGCTGCTTCAAGGCTTTAAGGGTTTGGTTAAAATTTTGATTCTAAAATTGTATTTTTTTTGTACGAGCTAAAAAAATACTGAACATAAAAAACAACTCCAAACGTGTCATGTTAAAACTTGTCAAAGTTTTTCGAGACACCAGTTGTTTTAGTTTTTTTTTTTAAATAACATCTTCCCCAAAAGACCCTTGAGTAATGCCTGTATCTTCAAAAATATTCCGAAAATCAGGTATTGTGCCTGAGGTTAGGTTTTAAATATGAGCCACTTTTTTTTTTAATTAGTGAATTCCTAACTACTGTTCAGGATTCTCACCAAAGATAAACTCATGGATTACCATTCATCAGAACATAAACAGAGTTCTGTCACTGAACTTACTTCAAACCAAACTACAACTGTGGCTGTATGCTGGTTTTCTGGAGGCAGCCTGGGTGTGTGTGTGTGTGTGTGTGTGTGCACTTGTGTGTTATCCTCCTGCAGATGGAAACAGCAGGCTGCATTACAAATTACAGCTTGTCTCCCACCTTTGCCCTGTGCTTGATCTTTAATACTCTGGGTGTATGCAGTGCCTCTTACACCCCCGCTGGTCCACTGTCATTCTTAAAATTGCAGGCACAGCTTAAAGAAGGGGAGGGAGGGGTTTGGGGGGGTCAAACTTAAAGGACAAAGACGCAGAATCACATCATGTGAAGGAGTTGCATGTACGGCAGCAAAGACGGAACGTAAACCATAGCTTTATCCACTGTGCCATGAATATCATCGGAAAAATTATTTATTATTATACTTGCGTTAATATTTTTACTAGGTATGACAAACATCCAAAAACATAAAATACCTTCAATAAAACAACATTAAAAAATCAATATTTAATTATATTCCACTTCAACATCAAAAAATAACCCCTGGTGGTTAATAGAATTTTGGGCCCCACGTTCATTCAATTAAAAAGCACTTTGCAATATATTTTGATGAGAGAGCAATGACTGAGTAATGTAGTGTTGAGTCATCATAATAAATGGGGATATAACAATGCTTCTCCTTCTTCTCCATATTCTTCTTCTTCTCCATCTTCTCCTTCTTCTTCTTCTCCATCTTCTTCTTCTTCTCCTCCTCCACTGTCTTTCTGCCTGTTCCTCACACTCTGTCTGATCCTCTCCTTCTCTCACTTGCGCCCACTCTCCCGTCTCAGTGGGATCTCCCTGCTGGTGTTAAAGCAGCCGGGCATTTCATCACTGCAGCTTCAGTCTCTCAGAGAGATCAGCGCCGGGAACGTGCACATCGCTGACAACAGCCAGCTCTGCTATTACAACACCGTCAACTGGACACGACTCTTCCGCGCTGCCAACCAGAAGGTTTTAGCCCGTAACAACAGGAGCCCACTGGAGTGCTGTGAGTGTGTAACAGAGTGAACGCCGCCACACGTGCAAAAAGTATGTCCACAAGAGTAACGAGTGATAAGAGAGGGAGGATTACGTCAGGAAGTGCTTGCTAACGCTAAGCACAGGCCAGTACTGTGAGATAAACTCATTATGACACATCGTGAATCATTGTGATTGCAATTAATCATGATTAATCAAAAGCTCGAGTATCATGTGAATATTTGGAGTAAATATTTTCATTGAAATTAAAGAAACGAATACGTTTTGAAATTAAAATATAACTTTTTGTCAAATGTTATCAAGTCTTTTATAAGCTAAAGCTTTTTTTTTTTGGGTTCCTTTTTTTTCAAAGCATTTACTCAGGCGCTAATGATTTGAGATAAATTGGAATTACTGGCCTGAAACAAAGTTAGCACTAGACACTACACCTTGACCATTTTGGATCAATGGTCAAATTTCAACCCCAGAATTTGGGTAGATTGCTTAAAGTGACATTTTAAAACGTAATGTCACGTTAAAGTCATTTCTCGTCTGTGTTTGGGTCCAAAGTTCTTTGTGAGGTAATTCTCTTTTCTACATCTTCAGGGTAGTTAACGTGGACAGCACTGATTCTCTCTCCGCCCTCTCTGAGCAGTAGCAAGTTTTTTGGGGATTAAGAATTTGATGTGAAAATCTAGAGTTTAGAATCTCACTGCCACTAAGGAAGTGGTAAAAACATTGTTTCTCTGTATTTAATGCTGTCTTGAGACAGGGTTTGGGGTGATTTTTTTTAATTACCTGGGTTAATTATTTGTGTACGGGGTGTGAATACAGAGCAGAGTGTGGAAACAACATGTCATTATAATAATGGCTAATGATAATGTAGAAAACATCCTTGACTTTTCCGTCTCCTGGGCTTCAGTAACTCTTGACTGAGAGACGGAGGATCTGCTCACTAGATTTGAACTGGGTTTTGAACTGGGCTCTTGAACTTAGCAGTGACTGATGGCTCATTAGCAAATTAGCTGGGTTTTTTTTAAGTTAGTTAATAGAGGGAAGTACATGACATGATTTCAAAGTGGGAAAAACTGCACTGGATCCCAGTAAATAAAAAAACAGACAAAACAACCCTGCCCAGGAAGATGTGTTTTAGTCTCTGTAGTACTTGTGTACTGCATTCATGTACACACACACATATATACAGTATATATACATATATGTGTATATATTTATACATATTTGTATATTTTTGTGGATAATATATATATAAATATATCTATATATTTTACACAAATATATAAAAATATATGTAAACATTTTATACAAATATACTTCTGTTTTTCTGTTTTTGTTTTTTGGTACCGAGCAGCCAGGGAGCGTATGGTGTGTGACCCACTGTGCTCCGACGCCGGATGTTGGGGTCCTGGACCAGACCAGTGCCTTTCCTGCAGATTCTTCAGCCGAGGAAAGACCTGTGTAGAGACCTGCAGCCTTTTTGACGGGTAAGCTTAGTTTGTGGTTTCACAAAGTGGGGGGGTGAAAACCCCTACATACGGCACAAGGGCTATTGCGTGAAAGTGTTGGTATAAAAGTGGGGGACAGGGGACAGGGTGAGGTACAGGCGCAGATGGTGACTCCTGGAGGGAGAAGCTGGCAGTAAACGGACAAAAAGATGGCAGAAGTCTCTACGGACTTCTGCCATGATCATCACAACAACATGTTTGTTGATGGACTTTCCCTGCTGTCTCTATTGTTCTTCAAATTCTCCCATTTTTGTTCCAGGGACCAAGTAAACCATAATTTCTGTCTAAAATTAGGTTCATGGTGAGCAGGACAATAAACACAGTCATTTTTCATGCAGTAAACAGCAGCAAAAATCAACACAGTTCGATCGTAAAACTTTGTAACTATGGGTGTTATTTCGTCCAAAATAATGACACGTCTTTCACTGCATCCTTCTTTACAGTACATTATATTTCCTGATGTTCCACTGGTACAACTGTGGGAACATAGGGAACCAAGTTCTTTGGATCAGTTTCTAAAAGAAAGAAAAACATTTTTTAATTTTTGGCTAGTTTTTAAATATGATAAATATATGAATGAAAAAAATATATATATAAAAATATATGAATGAAAAAAAATATATATTTTTTTTTCCTAACATCTGATGCATAACCTTCTCATCAAAAGTTCAGAAGAGCCTCTGGCTCTTTGTGATAAATGCAGTGTGTGTTCTGTTCACTAAACCTTTACCTGACGATGATTAAAAAAACACAGTCAAAGTAATAATTTAAAACACAGCACCCCTGCAGGGAGTCAGATTGGTTGAGGTCTCTTGATTTTGGAAGAAAAAATGTTCCGCAAGAAGTAGGAGTCCCAGGTGGGTGGAGTTTGGATTAAAAATACAGTTTTCAGACAGAGGAGAACTAGGACGCCGGGAAGCTGCTCTTGGGGCAGGGGGGCTAGGCGTGTCACTGCGTGTCACAGTTACTGCTTGCGCACGGGGCCACGCCCTGCCTACCTGTCCACCTGCACGTCAGCGCTGCCCACGCTGCAGCTTCACTGGAGGCTAACTTCATCCTTCATTAAAGCCTGGAGATTCAAGACCACAACTCAGAAGATGAGAGACTGTGTTGGTCAGTCGCTGTTTGTCCATGATGGTCCAGGATGATGATGCTGATCCGTTTGACAAATTAATTGACACAATCAAAGCTTTAAATTTGAAAGTTTAAAAATGAGAGAAAGTCCAAAAATATTATGATTTGTAAAAGTGTCATGAAAAACATTTGAATTCTCACAGGTGTTAACAACATTTTATCATTTCATCCTTTTGTTAAACTGAAAATCAAACACTGAAAATGCCAGCATTTTAAATTTCTAGAATATTTTGTTTCAAATAATTGATTGAAATAACTTGACAATCAGTTGGTATTTTAGCAAGCTAAAAAATCTGTTCAGAAATCACTTGCCTCATGCACTTTTGCAGCTTCACTGTGAAACCAGATCCGATTAATATCATCAATAGAAAAAATTCAATTAATTGTATTAAAAATGTATTATTTTCACAAGAATGAGAAAGGAAAAGAAAGTCTTTCATAACATGAGAATGAAAAAACCAAATCTGCAAAATTGATCGTATCATAATTAAATTAGTTTTGAAATAAAGAGTGCAATTTGAATGAAATGAGTTTTAACTACGCACTTGTGTGTTGCGGGTATTAATTTTGTAATGTTAATTAAGAATTATTTTTTTGAAATGACTGAAAGCAACTCAAATTTAAATATAGAACTTTTCTCCTATTAGGAAAAACGTGAAAGAATTTTGCAGTGTTTTTGGGGTAGTTACAATTGATGCTAATGAATGTGTTGTTCTGTGTGAATGTGTTGCTTCATCCATATTAAACCACGACAGACAGAACACCATCGGTGATGTTTTTCAGCTGCTCCTCAGTCTTTGTTAATTCAGAACTCACACAAAGGGTTTCCTCAGGAAAGGTCTTCTGAAGGCCAGATAAAGTATAATTAATACTAATTACATTTAGGTCCCAGTGGATCAACACACTTTATATGTTATTTTCTGAAATGAAACATTCCCTTTCATTTCACTGACCAAGTACCCAGAAGTCCTTCTCCTTGTCCTGCGGTGACAAAGGCAAAGTGCCAGCTCAGTTGCACCGTGGTCAAATTTAATGACTCTTGGAGGCCACCTTGGTGTTCCACTATTATAAGGGGATTGTAGAAATTGAATAACAAGGCACTTAATTTAATTGACTTTTTTTCCAATCCTTGCACCACTCACATGTATTGCATCCCTTCAAATGTGTCAACCTCATGTGTTTTGCCGTTAGAGGAACAGTTAGCTAATGAGCTACAACACCGGAGCGGTCTGTTGCCACGTAACTGGAATGAATGTCAGTCAGTATTTGAGACCGAAATGACTTAAAGTGTTGTCTAATTATCTTTATTTAACACTTTTGGCTGAAGAAATTTTTTCCTTTACACCCGCCCCCACCCCCTTGTCTCCCTCCACTGTGTCTCTTTTTTGGTCTCCACCCAACCTAATCCCTTCCTTCCCCACTTTCCTCCACCCTCCTCAGGGATATCAGAGAATATGCCAATGGGTCAGTGTGTGTGGAGTGTGATGCCCAGTGTGAGCGAGCTGAAGACGACTCTTTGACCTGCCATGGCCCGGTGAGTCTGTTTTTATGGGCAACAAAATTAATGCTTTTAATAATCTTACTGATTCAGGAAGGAATTAAGACGGTTTTATTCCAGGAGTGAGAGAGAAACAGCGTGACTGTTTGTAAAAGAGCTTTAAACCAAGAAAGCTCGGACTAATCCGACTTAATGTGACAGTCGATGTCATTTTTCTTACACTAACAGAATTAAAAAGTTACAGCATTATCATGAGGGGGAAAAAGCTTAAAAGTTGATTCTTTATTTAAGTAAAGCTGAAATATTTCGGCAAAAACTACATGACTCAGAGCTACATATAGTATCCCACAGTCACCTCCACGTACTTTAAATTATTTCTTTTCATAGTGTACCACTTCACTTAGTACCCAAATGCAAAACTGACTTAACTGAAACGAGCACTAGATTCAGTTCCAAAACGTTTGTTTTTGTGTATTTCACTTTTCATTCATTCATTCATTTTCATTCAATTGTCATTGTTGGAAACAACCTTGATAAATTCATAACCTGATGTATAAATTCTCATTAACAACTTTTTATTTTTTTTTTTTTTGCTCACATAACGTTTTAGTTTTTCTAAGAGCGCTGGTTCTCTTTTTTTTAAAGTTTCTTAACAACTCTTTAGTTTTTGTTTTTTTTTTCTTTTGCTCTTACAAACAAAATACACATAACGTTTTAGTTTTTTCTAAGAGCGCTGGTTCTCTTTTTGTTCTGGCTCATGTGAGAGCTGCAGCAGTGTTATACCCAGTTTAATTTTTTTTATTGGTTGAGACACATGGTAATGCCAGTAGGAGGCCAATAACGATGATCTCCACCCACCCCTCCTGTGACCCATGTTTTTGTTTAGGTATTTCTATAAAATTAGCAACAGATTTTGAAAAGAAAACAACAAATAAATTGCAATAATTCATTATTAAGTCATTCCTTCTAACGTGGTTTTAAGACTCACCTGTTGCTTGTCCTGAATTTCTCCACAATATCTGGCAACAGTGGCACATTAAAGTGCATGCAGCTGCTGTTGAAAACAAAGTCTCACATGACATTAGCGGAATGTGAGCTATTTTAAATGATGTTACTGCTGCCAATGCTGTTTCATTATGCAACTTCTTGAAAGTGCTGCTCCCTTTGACAGACTGTTTGGTAGCAGCTGTAAATTTGAAAATGCCATGAAAAGAAAACAAGGCCCTGTCCTTCAGTCCCGTCGCCCGTCTGCACTCGTCTGTGAACAGCACATTATCAGATATTTAAGACCTTGCATCCTAAATTCTCCGGACTCTCACCCTGCTATTTGATACTGAAGGATACATCCATGTGCTGTTTTTTTTTTTTTTTATCTTGTCAGATAGAAGGACAACATTGTTTGAAAGGGTGACACATTTTTTGAACATCTTTTTTTTCGAGTGCAGTGTTTGTTTTTGTTATAGCGTTGTGTGTGAGCGTATAGGCAGCGACAGCAGAGCTGGTTTTGTTTTCTACATGTAATTTCATCCCAGCTGTGAGCACAGCTCTGAACGCTCCAAATCCATCATGAATCCATCCCCACATCTAATCCCATCATAACCACATTGGAAGGTTGGTTCCACGAGGCTCCGGACCACAGTGAGGGCCATGCATGAATTTTCTCTCAGGGAAATGTTAAAGAATCCAGGAGCCACAGATTTTCATCTCACCAACTACGGTTGGACAATTTTAGCCTAATGCTATCAATTGTATTTTATCTCACAGAAACAGAATACGGCAGTGTTTTTGGATGACATGACAGCAGTGACATCTTCATGACAAATCACAGTGGAATGAGAATGGGTTTGTTTAGTTCTGATGTGTTTTTCCTCATTGAAAAATACTGCAAGTGCGTAGCTTATGCTAATTTTGTATTGTAAAGTCAAATAGCTGTAATGCTAATTAAGTGACATGGCAAAGAGAACTCAGCAGCTTTTTTTAACTGGGTACAAGTGTTCCAAATGGGAACGATGTACTTTGGTATTTTGGTCTAATTGACCTTTTAATGTTCCAGATGGGAACCATGTACGTTGGTACTTGGTATTTTGGTCTAATTGACCTTTTAAACAATTTCTAACGACATGTTCAAAATAATAGCGCACATTCTTAATTTTTATGTCGCTATCTGACCTCATAGAGGATGATTCATCATCAAGGTGATGTTATGTGATGTTTTTCTTTGTGATGAAACTGATGCCAACGTTGACTGGTTTCCTTTCAGCGACTGCTTTAATATTTTTTCGTCTTGTTGCCCATTTTTCCCAGTCTGTGTCCAAACCCTTTGGCCATAGGCTCCAAACAGACATTATATCAAACGTATATATTTGGTGCAGTAATTGTAAGATCTTACCTACGAACAAGAATCAGATTTGAAGCAGAAAAAAATCACAAACAGATCGATTTGAACTGACAGCAGGAAACTTTGGTCACTTGGTCACGACGCAGGGAATCCCTGCTCTGTATGAGGCCCAAATACTGTGGCGGCCCACGCACTCTTTGTTTGTCTATTAGGTATACATACACGCATAGTCATGTGCACCGCAGCACGCACACTCACACACTGAGAGCCATGGGTGGGACACTTATAAAAAGACCTGGCTCAACATGAAAGCCAGTGAGAGCAGTGAGGCTTTCAATTTGCATAATTACACCAGAGTGGTGAATGCTCTCTCTTTCTCTCTCTCTTTCTCTCTTCCTCTCTCTCTCTCTCTTCCTCTCCCTCTCTCTCTCTCTGAATGACACAAACGCACACAGAGACATTTATATACACACTCCATGCTCATGACTGGTCCTGCTTGACTGCAAACTGTGCAGAGGTTTCACTCCACGTACACACGAGGCAAAAACTGAAATTAAAGAAAAACGTAAAAAAAAAAAAAAAATACTGCTTCAAATAAAAGTGCTATTTTGGAAGTGAAATATAATTTATTGGCACGAATAAAGTGCTATTTTCTAAGTGAAATATAATTTATTGGCACGAATGTCACATTGTATTGCAATTTCTGAAAAACTGCTAACCTCGTTTTACTAGATAATTCTAGCTAGAGTTAACCAGTAACAAGGAATAGTTAACAACCACATCTTCTTTTCTATCCAGTAGAGGGAGAAGATCAGTTATTTACAGAGTGAGTTTCATTTCCCAACCACCCATGGAGAAGATGATCCAGCAGTAGTATCACTACAACAGTAATCTAGATTAATCGTGATTAATCCAAACCTGATGTGTGATTAATCTGATCTTTTACGGACAGCCCTAGTACTTCTGTCTTACTCGTGACCTGTGTACAGTATGTATATCTGACAGTCTTTATGTTTGTGTGTAAACCTCTCTGACAGTCTACAGTACATGTTGATAAAATGTACATCGGCTGATTCGATTTCTATTCACCGTGTTTGTGTTGTTTGTCAGTGAGCTGTTCCTCAGACCTGGTGATGATACGGTGGCTGTCTGGGAGAGCTCTCTGCCTCTCGTCTTTCTCCTCCCCTACTTCCTCCCTTGCCTATATTAGCTCCATAAATCCTGTTCTAGGCGGATTGTTATGGTCATTGTGTGCGCTGTGAGCGATGGTTATTATCTGCCTGCTCTGCTCACACTGCTTTATGTGTCTCGTCTGCTCTCATCCTCCTGCCTCACACCCACCCTCCCTGCCTCTGCCTCTCTTTTGCTCCCTGTTATTTACACTACATCTCTCACACTCTTACTGACTCCTTCCTTTGCTCTGTTATGCCACATCCATGTCCACTCTCTCTGCTTCACTCGCCTTTATTACCCGGCAGTACTTATATTTTCACCATTCTTGTCTCTTCTGGCTGTTTTCATTTTCCATCTGTTGCCTATTGCTGTGTCTCTCCTGCCCTGCTGATTCATGTGCAACAGTTTAATCTGTAAAGCTGCTAACACAGCAGAACAAGTCACATCTTTACCTGTCAGTCATTACAAATGTAACAACTGAGATTGAAATCTCTTATTTGCAGGACTGATGCTGTGATTTGGTGTTGGATCTTAATAGCAGAAACGTATTAAAACTTATCCATTCACACATCCATTCTGGTAACAAGACTTAAATTTAAATATTAGTATTATTAATCAGGTTTTTCATCCATCAAAGATAAACTATATTGAAAAACAAAAAAGTCTATGATTTATAGTTTTACATATTTTTTCTGAAATGCCCCTAGGTGTAAAACCCATACATACCTTTCATATTCCAGTATTTATGTTGTTTTTACATTTATTTCTTCATTTAAGTATGATTTTCTTATCTTATTATCTGTAACGTGGTATGCGGGACTTTTATTTTGAAGAGTCGAAAAGGAAAAACAAATGGGGGTCCTATCGCGAGTTTGTCACAGCCCTCACTTAATGTTCTCATTAATTATGCTAATGATTTCTTTTTTTTCTGAGATTTTTATCCCTTCTCTTTCTGTAGGGCCCGGAGCATTGCGTGAAGTGCCTTAATTTTAAAGACGGTCCAAACTGCGTGGAAAAGTGTCCTGATGGTCTTCAGGGTGCCAACAGTTTCATATTTAAATACGCTGAAGTCAACAATGAATGTCATCCCTGCCACATGAACTGCACCCAGGGGTAAGTGAACTGCAGCCATGGCCGTGATGCAGACTTAGGTCTCTCTAAAGTGTGGCCGACTCCAAATATTTTCATTTTATTTTATTTGACCAGGAAAGTCCCTTGAGACTGAGCGACAGAACACCTGCGACATAAACATTAAAAATCATCCAAAGGCCTCAGACACAGTTCAGTGACGTTGTACAACACAAGTTGAAACATTCTCAAACAGCATGTGCTTTTTAAAATAAAAAAAAAAGTCAAAAGTGTCATAACAGAAGAAACACAACTTTATTTAATTGTTACTGAGAAAGTCTCACTGTTATTTCTCCTTTTGATTAGCAATGGCACTGAGTGCCTTTTGTCAAGCGTCTCATCTTTTGTTCAACTAACATTACACAGTGATTTAATAAAAAAGAAAAAAAAACAAGGCAGAAATAAAAAAGAAAGCTGAAAGAATGACTGGTGAATACCCTCCACCACTGATATCTCTATACTCAACGACGGTTGGTGAGACATCTTTTTGTGTTCAAGTCCAGAGGGAATTTCTGTCACTTTTGTGAATGTTATTTGCCTATTTGTGAGTGACAGCTTCCAGCTCGCCTGAGCATAACAATGTAGTTGTAAATAAAAAACACCAAGCTGACACTTTGTCGCAGGTAAAGCTTCATAAGAAGGTCCGCCACTCAGAAGCACAGGGAGGACGGGGGGACGGGGGAGACAGCAGAGAGACAATGACAAAGAGGAAAACAGACAGAATCATAATGAAACCAATATTCTCTACTTCTAAACATGCCCAGGACCTTTCCAGTCTGTCATTCCTGGCATATTGTGCCAGCAGTGAATTTGGCTCATGAAAGATTTAAACATCAGCTCAGGAGAACTGGTAAAAACAGCTGTGTTTTAGTAATAGAAAGGTGTTTGTTTATTTATTTTTGTTTTCATCTTAGAGCACAGAATGAAGTTGGATTCAAATCTGGGAGTTTTAAGTGTTAAGGACCAAAGGTGGTATTGTTGGGATAGGATTTACTTTGTGTGTTAAGTTTTGCTGCAATAAAGTTGGAAAGGTCAAATAATTATGCAGCTTTAAAATCCAGCTAAATCCCTGTGTAGATATTTTGAAAAGTAGTTTTAGATAAAAAAAAACACATATCATACCTCTGGGTTTTCTTGCAGTTTATTATACTAATTATTCTCTTCTCTCACTGTACAAGCGATCATTTGTGTCCTTATTGTCTAAGTTGGATATTCTATATTATTGTTTTCCAAACTTACAACTTTTTCCTTATTTTTTCTTTACTGATCTAAATGGCTGTTTTTTGTACCCATGATTCAAGCTCATGTAGAGTTTAGATGTTGGTTTTCTGCTTTTACTTTTCAATAGTAATGCATGGTAACAAAGGTTTACAGTGGTTTTCTTCTAGTGTGTTGTTTTTGCATTTTTAAAAAAATTCCGCTGTTAAGTTTAACTGTTAATTCTGTTAAAATTGTGATTTAAAACTGTTCTTCTCAAATCACCTCAACAGTCTCGTCTTTTTAATACACTGCTCTTGGCTTCCTCCTTATTCTTCACCCAGGTGCATTGGGCCAAGACTACAGGACTGCATTGGCTGGATGGACAGGTACAAACTAATTACTCATTCAAGTGCACACACGGGGAAGCACGCATGCGTAGCTGCGCACCTACGCATGTATTCATGTGCAGTTCCACGAAGCCAGTTCCACAGGAAGCGCAGTACATTATTAATGGCTTGCTTTAGGGTTTCCACATTTTCCTATGAATATCCTCAAAGCTCCTCGCACATGCACACCTGTGTTTGTGTCTAAAATGTGATGGTGTGTATTGCTTTGTGTGTGTGTACGTGTTTGTTCACAGGCCAATTGCCTGGTGCTTGATAAATTGATAACACTTTTGCTTTTGTTTTGAGACTGTGGGGGAGAAACGAGAGCATAATGTCTCTGCTAGTTTAGTACAAATGCATCCATGTTGGGCATGAGGAGAACGGTGGCCCAGGTGGCACTGAGAACTTTTTGGCATATGAGAAATTAGGCTGACAGACACTGACAGAGCAGTCAGTCACATCAGCTGGTGTGACTTAAGACCTGCTCCAAAAAAGACTTGAATGTTTATTTATATTAGAAGGTTCAAATGTATAATGTGTATTATCAAAGGGCAGGGTTGCTTCATCATCATTAATCACAGTTAATTATGATAGATAGAAAAGGTAGATATGTGTGTTTGAGCTAAAGTTGAAGCCTCACAAACACATGCTTGGTGTTAGGATGGTATTTCAAGCTTCAGTGAAAGTAAAACACTTTTACACAATGTAAATAACGCCAGGTGAACTGTGTATTAGAGTAAGTGGATGGATGGTAAAAAGTCCATTGCAAAATACGTTAAATGTGATAATAGTGGATGGATGGTGAAAAGTCTATTGCAAAATACGTTAAATGTGATAATAACTGGTAAGAATCCTGTTTTGGGTTTGCAGGGATAAAAACCCAATGTGCTGTGTGTGTATTTACAGCAGTGATTCCCGAACCATATCTGCAGCGCTCCCCTTTTGTACATGGAACTAATCCAATTCCCTGCAATAGCATTAAATGTGTCAACACATTCACCGCTAATGCGCTAACAAAATCCAATTTCCTCACTCGGTCACATACACAAAAACATAATACAAGTTAATATTTCTCACTGCAGCTGCTGTGCAAAAGGTCCGTGCCCCCCATTTTGGGAACCATTGCCACAACAGCAAGACGTTGACCCGTTTGACTGGCAGGATCAGCTCATGTTGAAGCCTCATTAATGACAGCAGTATCGTTCATCCAAAGGTCTTCAAAACCTTTAAAGAAAAACTTGTAAATTCTGAAGAAATGCTAAAATAAAATGACAGCTTTTCTGTGACTCATACTGAGTCGCTCTCCACGGGATAAACTCCAGCAGTCGGGGAAAATATTTATCAGTTGACCAGATCTTACCTCCTGAGATCAGAGATGTTTTGCGGCCATGATACATCTGTAGATGCAGATAAAGCAGCTTCATCTGCCGGCTCTCAGACTTCAGGCACATCATTCATCTTCCACCTGTTGGACGTATTGACTTCTGGGCACAAATGGAAGTGGCTTATCAGAAACAGATGATTACACTAATCCTACAAAGCCCATCATTCATTGCAGCATGTTTTATGTACTGATTGTGTGCATGTCCGATTAATACTCATTTTGCGTATAGTAATTAGTCTGATGAAATTGATAAGTATAATCTCCTGCTGCATGTTCTGTTTGCCAGTATCTCTAGATCAGGGTTTAATTCATGTTCTCTCTGTGTTCTGGGTTTTTTTTTCTTCTTTTCCTTTCTGTGAATATTTTAAAACCATGGGTTTTGAGGATAAATGTTGCATTTAATGAGATCAAATGCATCAGCGATCATGTGTCTTTATGAGTGACCTTTAGAAGTGTGTGTCTGGGCTGCAGTAATAGTAGAGCAAGGTCTCGTCGGATCAGTCAAGAGACCCGTTAATGTCAATCAGAGAGACCAGGTGAATGAAGCGTGCACATTCATTTTGATTGAGCGCGCTCATTCTGGATGTTGAAATTACAGCAGGTCATGCATTACATTTTTTTTGTACAGTTGTGTGTAGACGTTGCTCTTTGTTCACTCGGTTGTTCGTGGTTAGAAAAAGGCAATACTGAATACTGAACCATCAGTCAAATTTTGAACCTCCTTTTGACCTATGAACCAAAAAGTTTATATATAGGGACCAAATAAAGTTCTGTCATTTTTGCTTATTCTTCTCATTAAGGCTTATAGAGTAATTTAATAGACGTTGAAGAGGGATATTTTAATTTATTGTCCAGGTTTTAATAGAAAGGTTATTTGTTACCAGTGAAGCTCTGTGTAAAGTCAGTCTAGAAATGAAGTGTAGGTGAAGGGTTTATGAGCAGCACCCACACAGTTTGTTTGTATGCTTACCTCTTTCTAGTGTGTGTGATCAAATAAGGGAGATGTGAGACCCTGTATTTTTGTCCTACTCTGCTGTCATCATCTTGTCCTTCTGCTGAAAACGTGTCATTGCCTTTATCATCTGCTGCCTTCATCTTTACTTATTTCCCTCTTTTCCTTTCTTCTCCTGAGAACCCCTCTGATCGCAGCAGGGGTGATAGGCGGCCTCTTCTTGGTGGTGATCATGGTGCTTAGCGTAGCAGTGTCTCTACGCAGGAAGAACATAAAAAAGAAGAGAGCGCTGCGTCGTTTTCTGGAAACAGAGGTGAGCACCACGTTGGAGGCAGATTTTTTATTTTAAACCGGAACATATCTGTAAAAATAAAGGGAACTGTAGGCAGGGAAATGAGCAAAACAGGAATCAGGAATGAGTCACTTTAATTCAAGTCACATGAAAAAAAATAAAAAAATAAAGCAACATCTGTTACTGATCTGCAATCCCAACAGTGGAGATCTTAGTAGGTGGAGGTCGAAGAAGAGCATTTTTTTTAATGATGTAAGAATAAGTGAAAAAGCTGCTCTATAAAATAAAAAAAATATTATTTTTTATTAAAGTGGCTGAATTTCAAAAATTATATTTGACAGGTTTGTAGATGACAGGCGGTGCGAATCAATACTCTATTACTTTGGGGGGAAAAACAGAAATGTCTGATGATGTTTATCTGATTTTTGTTGTGATTTATTGGTTTTCCATTGTCAGTTGTCTGCTTAAATATGTCGGTTTTGTGAGTTTTGTGTCCAGTGTGTGTCTGTGGCAAATGGGTTGGTGCACATGTTAAGTATGCAACTCTAATAAACTTGGTCCAATTTAAGATTAAGTCAAATCCACGAGAGGGGATTAAACAAACCTTCAGGGTTTGCAGGAAATGTTAGAGGAAGAGTCAGGTGTTACGTTTCCACCAGAGGAAATATCTGTTGGGAACAGGAAGGGAACTTTAGCATTAGAGAAAATAGATGCTTACGTTCTTTGTGGTAAAATAAAATAAGCAGATGTACTGGAACAGTGAGCCCACAATCAGAGTACGCTCTTGTTTCACAGATTAGAGTGAGTTATGGTTGAAGTGTCTGGTTGTTTCTATGATAAAAAATAGTCAGAAATCACGGTATGAATTCATTTTCTTGTCCCTTTTACAACCCTGTTTTTAACTTACAGTTATGCTAAAAGTTTGGTCTTATTCCTGGTATAACTAAACTGACCTGAATCTGATAAACACGTATTGTGAACATATTTACAACCCAAAAAGTTTGTGAGTGTTTTGGTTAGTTTACCACTTGGTGGACTTGGTGTCGACTCTAATTCCACACTTCACAGTGATAAGACAATGATACCATCAGCATTGAAATGATCCCTAACATGCCCTATTATTACTGTGGTAGTCCATTGTGATTGGGTCTGAAATGGAAAAATATCACTCAACGTGTATAATTTAACCAATTTAACTGTGTTTTCATTTCTGGTCTGTCTGTGATCACTTAAAACATATTAAAAGAAAAGAAAAAATATCGTCTTTGACAGAGATTCTCATACTATGGTATGTGGAACACTGGTAG